GCTAAATTCGTTGAAAGCTCCCTGCTTCTGAATATTGTGAACTTTGATGAACTATCGTTTTGCATCCAGCTATCCGTAGTCCCCATGGTTTTGTAAACCTTTGTCAGAACCTCTCTTAATCCAACCTTCTGTCCAAACTGAAAAGTCCCAGCCTTTTCAGTCCCTCCAAAACTTCTAGAGAGACTAAAGTTTCTCCCCTGAAGGATTTCTCTGACTTGCCTTTATGAGACATTGGATTATTTTGGAACTCATCTGACCTGTATGACCTACAGTTCTCCAGAGTGCCCCTGAGAGCCTTTCGGTTCAGCTTCTGGTTGTGATAATCGCAGATGTGTGCTTTTCTCTCATCTGCTGAACATGAGAAGCTTTGATTGTTTGGGATGATAGAACTTGTACTCAGATGATATTGCTGGTACATTTTGGTTTTGAGGCATTTATATTTTCAGAGATGGAATCGTGTAAAGGCCTTTTAATAGGGGTTTGATTTTGATCCAAGTATGCATTTATTGTTTAGAAAAGCTTGTCTCAATTTTTTTGGAAGGGAAGTTTTAAATTGATTTTACTGTGGAATGTTTGCAGGGCATATGGCCATGTTTTTAGCTGAGCATTTATATTTTTTAATTTTAATTTTGAAAGTCGCTTTTTCTGTGACTTTCATTGAAGGTCTAGTATAAATAGCAGGCGATATAAATATTATCTAAATTAAATTGTCTAAAACTGATACATGTATACTGTACTGTGTGCCATCAGATATATTTGGAAACAAGAACTCCTTATGAAATTCTCAGTGAGGCTTTGGTCCAGTCCAGGAAAGCTGTGTGGTTTCCAGGGCTCGGAACGGGGCAGGTTTTTGATGCCAGATCAGAAGTGGTGCCTGAGTCTGCGCTGAACTACTGCAATTATAACACCAGGGAAACTCTTGAAGTCAGCAGCACTGTGATCCTTCTGTGCAGAAAAGCAGGGTAACTTTCTTTTTAAAACTCTTAGGCATTTGGGCAGGGGAGGCATCTGCTAGTGATCCCTGCCACACAGGATGTTACAGTTTCATAAATATGCCCCTAAAGCTCAGGGTTTAAGTAGCACATGATCAGAGTGGGAATGCTGGCAACATACCTCTTGAAATGAATAGTTGCCATTCTTGTCTGTTTTGCTTTAAGAAAAGAAAGAAGGGTTGAATTCAGGACATGCAAAAGAATACAGAGTACCTTATATCAAATGTCTAAATACTAGAACCCCATTAAAGATATATGGCACTTTTAAGTCTATATGTGTGTCCTGAAGACCTTCTAACTGAAGGTCCTTCCCTGCCATTGACCCTGTACTGGCAGACCCTTCAGAAACTAGGAACTGAAGTGCAGTTGGCTCTGCCCATCCACGCAGAACAAGACCCAGGCATAGTACCAGAATGGGATAATTCCTCAGCAAAGGAAGAAGACAAGAGCAAGGACAATTAAAATCTTTGCTCTGAGTCACATGTATCATGAGAATTGGACATGGCTGTACATGCTAGTCTGGAACAGCTACCCTGAAACATTCTTTCTGGTATAATGATGCTTCT